GTATGCACGATTTTATAGCCCTTTGGGCATAACAGAATAGTAATTCTTGAGGATAGTATTTATACCAGTACAACTGACCTCAGGGCATAGCCAAGTACTTTGTTACAGGACTTTGGAGACAAATGAAAATGCAGTCATGAATGTAAATTTCATGGGGATAGAAGTCCCTATCTTTGGCTGAGACAAGTACACGTTTGCTACTGTAAGGAAGGAAATCCCAACTCAGGGTCCAGGGATTCCCTGGGGAGGGCAAAGTCCTCCAGATGTTCCTGTTGGCAAGTGATTGCCTCAAGATCCAAAACACTGAAGAGCCTCCTGAAACAAATCTATATTCACTCAAGAAATTTAGCCTGATCATTGACACAGGAAAGATCAGACAGATGAAGAGCATCTATTATCTAGGCAATGATGTGGAATTACTGGAAAGTCAAAAGAAAAATAAACTCGGAGGTATAAAGTTGAAAATATTTAGCAGCAAGAGTGCTAGGGATATTTTTCTCTGAGGAAAAGCATGGCTTAGGAAATTAATGAAACACATTTTGATTCCTGCCCCTACATTCTGTCCCACAGTCATAATGGCCAGCCTCTGTCACCAATGTGACAATGAGGAAGCTCCCCTCAACTCCTTTAACAAAGGGACTTCTTATTTCCCATTTCACGGAAAGACTATGAGAATTACTAAAGGTTAAATGCTCTTCAATAGTTTTTTTTTTCCCTTTTGGTGAGGCAGTTCCGGTTAAGTGACTTGCCCAGGGTCACAACAGCTAGTGAGCGTCATGAGTCTGAGTCTGGATTTGAACTCAGGTTCTCCTGACTCCAAGGCCAGAGCTCTATCCACTGCGCCACCTAGCTGTCCCCGCCCCCCCCCCAAACTCTTTAGAAAAAGGCTCCTGCCTCATGATTCAGTTCAGTTACTCTTTCTGGAGCATCTGGTCTAAGTAAACCCTAGGCAGGGGGGAGGTACAGACAAAGATGGCAGGTCTTGGCCAACCCAGAGCTAATAGTCCATTAGGAGAGATTGAATGCCAATTAGACCCTGTGGCGGACATGTCATCATCATATGCATCCTGAACCCAGGGAGTGGATTGGGAAAGTGCCACTGCTCAGCCAGTCATGGTGAAGAGGACAGATACAGAATCCCAGAACCAAAAGGGACTCCTGAGGCCATCCAAGCCAACCCTGAGCTGGACAAGAATCCACTCTACAAAATTCCTGTTGAGTCTTCTGTAGCTTCGACATGAAGACCTCCAAGGAGAGGGAGACCCCACCCCCCTCCCAGGGCAGCGCTCCTGGTTAGGGGGCTTATCCTGAATGAAAACCTTGATAGGTCTCTGAAACTTCCCCGCACTGGTCCTAGTTCTGTCCTCTGGAGCCTAGTCTTCCACAGGACAGCCCCTCAGATATCTGAAGACAGCTCTGCTACCAGATAGCTCTGAATCAGCCATTAAACAAGCATCTATCAGGCACCTACTGAGCGCTAGGTTCTGTGCTAAGTGCAGGAGATACCCAAAAAGGCAAAAATAAACAAGTCTGTGCTCTCAAGGAACTCATTCTCCAGTAGGGGAGGCAACACGCAAATAATCATGCACAAATAAGATACAGATAGAGCAGCATCAGCAGTGAGTGACAGCCTTCCCAGACCCACCCAGGACTTAAGTAAGTGAAGCAGAAGGGATCAGTGACACAGGCGCAACAGGCAAAAGTAAGAACTTCAAAAGAACCATCCCCCTCTCTCCACCATCTTGACATTAAAAGACTAAGGCTGAAGCTACTGGCTGTGCTCACTTCTTCCAGACTGAGGGAAGTTCCCCCCAAAAGGTCTGCTCCTTCCCCAACTTCCTCTCTCCCACGCCTGTCTAGCAACAAATTCTGTTATATACTCTATTCACTTCCTGTACCTAATATTTCCTGTACCCTAATTTTTGCCTCCAACATAAAGAAGCAAGGAACTAGCTAGAAATAAACATAAATATAAATTAGAGCAGGGAGCCAAATGTCTGAGTGTTAGGAATTTTCCTAACTAGGGGCTCTGAGCTATTGTAATTGTGATGCTAACTTTTCATCTGATATAAACTCCATAAAGTATCAAAAGAATGGCTCTGAAGTGCCAGTGTATTGCCCCTGAGTTTAAAAAAGCAAACTAATTGTAACTGATCATTGCAGGTGATGACATCTCCAGAGATAAGAGGGTTGAGAGGACAGGGTGGTAACAGGCATTGGAGGGCCAGCTATGCCCTCCATGGGTATACCAACACTTATCTGTGTTATACTTGCTTCTCTGAGTTCATTCCAGTCATCGTTTCCTACAGCATAGTAATATCCCATTCCATTCCTGGCCCACAATTTGCTTAGTCATTTTCCCAGTGAAGGACAATAACTTTGTGTCCAGTTTCTTGCTATCACAAAAAATGCTGCTGAGCACATGTTTTGGAATATCTGGAGACTTTACTTTTGTCATTGAACTCCTTGGGTATATGCAGTAGAGTCCTGGATCAAAGAGTGGGAATATTCTCCCCTGATAATTCCAGCACGTTATAATGGATCAAGAAGCCAGGGAGAAAAAAAAAAAGCCAGGGAGACCTGGCTTCAGGTCAAGCCAGCCTCAGACGCACACTGTGTGACTTTGGACAAGTTATTTAACCTCTTCTTGCTCTTGGCAACTCTCTGAAACTAGAAGATGTTATCTGCATGGGCAGAGAGGAACTTTCCCTGCACCAGTGAAATCACAGATCCAGTCCCTATCCCTAATTCCACATTGCCTGAGTCTTGAGGGAAACAAGGCATTATTCAAAGCTGGTGAGCTCCTGGAAGCTTTCCAGGCAGGAGAGGCAGCCAGTACAAAGGCACAGAGATACAAATGGAGAGTCCCATGGGACAATTGGTAATAGAATTTGATTGTACTCTAGTGTGCATGAAAGAAGAAAACGCATGATAAGGCTGGGAAGATAAACTGGGGCCGAGTGGGAAGGGCTTTCAGTGCCAACCTCTGTTGTTTAGAATCCCTGGCTTCTTTCAGTCCTCGGATTTCTGCAGGAGACCTTCCCTTGTACCACTAGTGCCTTCTTTTTGAGATCGGCATCCATCTACTCGGTATGTATCTTGTATGTACCCAGTTGTTTGCATGGTATCACTCCCATTGGAATGGGAGAGAATATTTGTAAGTACTTGGCACAATGCTTGGCACCCACCCTTCCCCTGCTCTCTTGGAGAAGAAACCATGTTTTTCCCTTTTTTTAAAAGTGCTTGGCACACAGTAGGTGCTTAATCAGTACTTATTGATTGATGGATGGTTCATGGTTTGATACCTGTAGGAGCAGGCTTATTATGTACAATGCAATGCAATTACTGTCATACACGAGGTAGTTAAGCTAGCTTCGGTGAAAGAGCCGGGAACCGTAAAAGAAAACTAGAAGGCAGCATAGGGCAGGCAGGTGTTTGACCACCATCTTCCCTGAGACCCTGATGGAGAGAGCCCAGGACCCCAAACCCAAGAGCCTTGGGACTAGCCAGGCTTCTGGTCCGTCCTCTTGGGAAGCAGTCCCTGGGGAGATACAGTCTGGGGGCCACTTCTGCAGGGCTGTGGCCACAGCTACTAAAGACCCAGAACAGAATGTTCTTACCACTAAAATCTCTGCTCTGTGAAATGGCTCAGTGTCAGAAATGGGTAGGATTTTATGAGTGACAATGTTGTTTGTCCTTCATTTTTGAAGAAGACCAATGACATCACGGGTGATGTCTCTACTTGCACAGGAATTGGATTCCAGTGAGGCAGAGCCGCACAGAGCCTCCCCCCCTCCCAGAGTCATCAAAGTTCAGTGGTACAAGTCTAGAGGATTGGCGATGCACTGGATGACCTTGGTGTCTCTTCAATGCCTGACATTTCTAAGCGCCTGCTCCAGCCGCCTTCATGGCCACCATTGGAACAAATTGTTCTCATCTGCCCATTCCACTGGGAAAAGTCTTTACGTGCTTGGAGTAGATAACCCTAACTCACCAACAGGTCTGCTGGTTTGGCCCTCAACCTGGCTCATCCCGCCTGCTGACGTGGTTTCAGGGGAGCGTGGCTGCCGCGAATACTACAGCTTCATGGAGCCACAGAGGAGGGTTGGGTGACAGGTGGGCACCAAAAGTGACTGAGCAGCCCTGAAAGAGACTTGGTAAGCCCTCACACCGGAGGTGCTAGCCCTCCCCATGAGTGGAAATAACACTAAAGAAGAGGCATTACCATTTGCTTTGCAGTTAACAGCTAACCTGGCACTGGGCTAAACACTTCACAGTTAACTCATGTGATTCTCACAGCAACCCTGGGAGGTAGGTGCTATTATCACCCCCAATTTACAGATGAAGAAAGGAGGCAAACAGGTCAAGCAACTCACCCAGGGTCACATAGAGGTAACTGTCTGAGGCTGGATTTGAACTCAGGTCTTCTTGACTCCAAACTAGAGTTCTATGGTTATACCTTGGTGATACCTAGCTGCCCCTAAGGGCCTGGGACCTTTTCTGTCTGACCTGCAGCTAAAATCTTCCATACGTTGTCCTCCCTATTAGCATGAGAGCACCTCAGGGACAGGAACTGACTTTTCTTTGTAACCCCAGCGCTTCGCAACGAGCTTTGCACACAGAAAGCACTTAATAAATACATGTTCATTGACTGTGCTCAGGGTGCTGATTTTAGCAGTCACGTGAAGTGGGGATTGGAAAGGGGGGAGGCAGGAGGAATGGAGGCCAGAGGTGTTGGGGGGGGGGCCTGCCCTGGGGAGAGGGCTGCGTTGGGGGGGAGAAGGGGTCACGGAGGAGAGGGAAGCGTGGAGGATGGCCCCAGTCCTTGACGGACACCATTCCATATGAACATCCCCCGCTCCTCATTTTGCAGAGAGAGAAACTGAGGCCAGACAGAAGCAAAGCGGATTCCTCCTCCTCCCCAGGGAAGCTCATCATGCCCCCGCCCTAAGGCTCCATCCCTAACGCCCAGCCCTGGCGCCTGCGCACTCCGCAGCCCCGCCCGCGGGGGGAAGGGGTGAAGCACGTGACCCGCCTCCTCCTCGCGCAGGTCCCTCTCGCTTCCCCCACCCAGGCCCGGACCGGGCCCTCGTAGGTGTCAGTGACCGTGGGAAGTGGAACGAGGCCCCGCCAGCTCCGCCACTGACACCGTCCCCCCACCGCCCAGGTAGGTCGGGTTAGGAGAGGGACTGGGATGGAGGCCGCCAGACCTGGGCCGCTAAGATTCGCCATCTCCCGCCGCCGTGCCTTTGCCTGCCCCCTCCCCTGCCCCCTGCACTCCCCCTACTCTGAATAGTGTTAGCCCGGCCCTCGTACCCCGCGCGCCCTGGGGCAGTCTGTTTGCTCCTCTCCACCCCTCGGCCTCAGTGTCCTCCTCTGTAAAAGGCGGGGGCTGGTCCCTGCCAGCTCCAGATCCGGACTCCTCTAAACTTGCTGCGTCTACAGCTAATGACAGTCAGCTCCCTGAGGGCAGGGGCGGCTTCGTCTTGCTCCTTTGTATCCCTGGGGCCAGGCCCCTGATAATGGGGGGAGGTTGGAGGGGATAGGATAGGATTGAATCGGAGCATCCGAGCTGGGTGGGCATCTGGGAACCAGTGGCTGGTTCATGTGACAGCTGGGGGGAGATCACCTGGCCTTTAGTAATGAGAGCGATGCCGGCCCCCCAGGGCTTGCCACCCCACCCTAGTATTTCATTATCAGCCTTGCTCCTCAGCCTTGAGGGAGCCTCCCTTGGCATTATCTGCATTTTACAGACAGGGACCTGTGCCTGGAAGGGCAGGCCCCTCAACAGCCACTGAGGCCCTGGGGTCTACTCTCAGCTCTCATGACACCATCCTGCCTGCCCAGATGAGAGCAGTAGTAGGGGTCACCTGGGCTAACCCTCCCATGGTGAAGAAGAGAAGCCAGGCCTGGCAAGCAGGTGAGATGACAGCGCTCAAGGTCACAGAGCGTGAATGGCAGAGCCTGGCTTTGAACCTTCTGGCTTCACATCCACAGAACCTCTTAGGGGCCAAGGGGTGGGCAGCTTGTAGAGGACCTTGAATGCCAGGTCCAGGAACTGATACTTTACAGATGCTCAGAACCGGCTGTTGGCACTTTCCACTGGGGAAACAAAAATAGGCCCCCAGTTCTGCTTTCAAGGATCTAAATTATGGAGAGAAGGCTTTACAGCATACAACATGGACCTAGGCCCCTAAGGCCAGTGAAATGGCAAATATATGTTACCAGACAGAGCACTTGGACGATTGGAAGCTGAGAGGCTTCGTGGAAGAGGTGGTGCCTAAGCAGGGAAGAAAGGATGTCTACCAGGGATGTGGGGGAGAAGGGGGAGAATAGGCTGGTTCCAATCCTGTCTCTGACCTTACAGACTTATGGGCAGTCAGTCAATAAGCATGAATATTCTGTCAGTCAGCGTGCTGAAGCTCCCTATCCTTCTGACAAGTGGGGATCATAATCCTTGAAGATCCTTCACAGAATTTTATGAGGAAAGCACTTTGTAAGCCTTGCAGGGGCTTTCAGGGGCATCATTGAGGCCAGCCTTTTTTTTTTTTAACAGGCTTCTTCTTGCAGGCCTCTGAGGATGGGCAACTCACTACTTTTTGAAGCAGCCCACTTCGGTCTCACTGTTAGGGAGTTTGCTGTGCCGTTAGACCAAACTCTGCTTCTCTCTTTACCTTCCTCTTCCTCCTCCCAAGCAGATGAAGGTTAACCTCTCCCACAAATTAATCTTAATGACTTGAATATAGCTTCTTTCAATCTTCCCTTCTCCACGCTAAGCACTGGACTTTCTCACACATTCTCATGTGGTACAGTTTGAGGTAATTTTGTGTAATAATAATAACAATATTAGAATAGCTCACATTGATATAGCACTCTTAAGGTTTACAAATAACTCATTTCATCCTCACAACAACCCTGCAAAGCAGGTTCTACTGTTAATCCTCATTTTATATAATAGGATATAGCAGGTTAAGCAACTTGCCCAAGGACATACAACGGCTAGTAAATGTCTGGGGCTGGATTTGAACTTGTGTGTTCCTGACCCCAGGATACGAGCTCTAACCACAGTGCCATCTAGCCCTGGACTTGTTGTCAGGAAGGACCTGGGTTCACATGTTGTCTCTGACACTTAGTAGCTATGTGACCTTGAACAAGTCGTTAAACCTCTCCAAGACTCAGTTTCCTTATGTGTAAAAGGGGGGCAATACCAGCTCTGACCTCTGAGGAGTTTGTCAGTAAAGTGCTCAGCAGACTTGATAGTTCTGTATAAGCGTCATCGCCACTTTCTTATGGTGACCGTTTGCCTTCGCCCTTCCTTCATTAGGTGCCCAGACTAAACGGTCCTTTAGATCAGGTCTGAGTGATGCCAGAAATGGAGGGATGCCCACACTTCTGGAAGCTCTGCCTCCTGTAATGCAGACCAAGTCTCATTAGCATTTTGGAATGCCATACCGCTCATGTTGTGTTTGGCTTGTGGTCCACCAAGACCCCTGGGTCTTTTCCACTGGTGTGTGAAATTATTAGTATTAGTATTATTTTTGCCTAGACAGTGGGGTTAAGTGACTTGCCCAGAGTCACATAGCTAATAAGTGTCAAGTGCCTGAGGCTGCATTTGAACTGAGGTCCTCCTGACTCCAGGGCCAGTGTTCTATTCACAGCACCACTTATCCACTTTCCCTGGTGGAAAGGGAGTAGAGGCCACAAAGCCCGCCCCTAGAGCCATCCCACCAGGTTATAGTTCATGGCTCAGATCACTCAACTGTGAGGATTTGGTTTATGTCCCTGGCAGGAGCAGCCTTCCCCTGCCCTTCACAGGGAGCTGAGGTGCCATGTGGAGCCCTTTCTGCTGGACTCAGTGCCTAGTGTGGCCAGCTCTGCCTCACTTTGGGGGAGAGGTATGGGGGAGGGCTGTCCAGACCACGGATCTGCTGACAGAGAACTTGCCTGCAGGAAGTAGCCTGTGAGCTGTCATAGGAACCCTTGTTTTAGCCAGGAGGGCAAATGCAGCCAGGGGGCGGGGGCGGGGAGGCAGTGGTGGTAACAAACTGGACAGCAAGCCTTGGGCCAGTGTGCAGTGGGCTAAAGGGGCACCTTGTCAGCCGTGTGAAGAGTGGCCACTCAGCGGCTCACCCACGTCTTGGTAACCTTGCCCAGGCCATCAGTGGGCGAGAGAAGGTCCAGAGGAGGGCAGCCAGGCCGGGGAAGGGCCTAGAGTTCATGTCCTGTGAGGAGCCGGGATAGTCTACCCTGGGGAGGAGAAGGCGGGATAGGACAGAGAGCCGGGCTCCAGTATCTGAAAGGGGGATTAGTCTGGTTCTGCTCGTGGGGCAAAGCTGCCAGGAGGTGAGGTGAGGAAGAGCTTTGATAGGCTACTGTGAAAGGTAGTGAGCTCCCTATCTTTGGAGGTCTTCAAGCAGAGGTTGGAGGTCCCTTGGTGGGAATTCATCTCAGAGATGACCTGGACTCAGAGGCTACTGAGATCCTTTCCTCTCCTCAGATCTTTTGCAGTCTTCAGAGCCTCCGTCCATCACATTAGAGGTGGCCGGGTGATTCAGTGGACAGAGTGCCAGGTCTGGAGTCAGAAAGACCTCAAATCTAGCCTCAGACACTAGCCCTGTGACCCTGGACCAGTCACTTGATTGTTGTTTGCCTCAGTTTCCTCGTCTGTAAAATGGGGATAATTGTACCTACCTCCTAGGGTTATTGTGAGGATAAAATGAGAATAATTGTAAAGCTGTGGCATATAGTAAGCTCTTTATAAATAATAGTTATTATTATTAGCTATTATTTGCAGCCTTCAAGGTCCCCTCTGTCATATTAGAGTCAGATAGGTGGCATAGGAGATAGAGCTTGGGGCCCGAAGTTAGGAAGACCTGGGTTCAAATGCAGCCTCAGATACTTACTAGCTGTGGGACTCTAAGCAGGTCACTTAACCTCAGTCTGCCTCAGTTTCTTCACCTGTAAAATGGAAATAGTAACAGAACCTTTCTTGCAAGATTGTCGTAAAGATCACAGGAGATGTTTGCAGGTTGCTTAGCACAGAGCTCGGCACATAGTAGGTGCTATATAAATACTTATTCCCCCCAATCACCCCCCCATCATCAGTGGTCGCCGGTAGCCCGGGCCGGGTCTGCCCCCCGGCCTGTCCAGCTGCTCGTGGGCTGGCTGTGTGTCTGGCCAGCTGTCGGGCATCACTGAGCGGGTCTCTTCCTTTCCTTCCAGCAGGGAGCAGCTGAGAGGTCAGGTCACCTCCAGCCATGGCTTGTGAGACCGGGCCAAAGGCGGCCGACAGCACCTTCTCATCCGACAGACATGCCCAGATCATCCTGGCCCAGATTAACGAGATGCGGAGCGGGCAGGATTTCTGCGATGTGCAGCTGCTGGTGGGAGAGGCCGAGTTCCGTGTGCACCGGCTGGTGCTGGCTGCCAGCAGCCCCTACTTTGCTGCCCTCTTCACTGGAGGAATGAAGGAATCCTGCAAGGATGAGGTGCGGATCCTGGGCATCGAATCAGGAATTTTCCAGACTCTTCTGGATTTCATCTACACAGGTAGCACCCTCAGCACAGGCTGCCCTGGAGGATGGGCAGGGTGCTGGCTGGCATGTTGAGTCTGGCTCCAGGCACTTTCCCTGCCTTGTTTCAGCCCTCCTTAGGCTGTTTCTGAGGGAAGGGCCTGCAGTGATTTGGGGGCTTGCTTTGTCCCCATCTAGGACACTAGGGAAGGGTTGAGCTTAGCTGGAATCATCCGGTCCCCCTGAGGCATCTCGCACCTTGGAGACTTTGGATGGAGGAGGAGGGGATGTGTTCTTAAAGTCATACCATTCTCTGTCAGCTTTCCCACTTCTGTCTCAGGGCCTTTGAGAGCTGGCCTTGGTGGAGATAAGGAAACAAGGCTATTACATTGTCAGAAATGCCGCAGCACTGTTGGCTGATTGCATGTAGAGGGTAGGGTCCAAAGGTCCTCAGGAGAGGTGCTTTCTCATTGCCATCTCTTTCTTTGTCCCAAATATCCCTCAGTTTCCCTCTTTGGCTGCTGCAGATCCAGGAATTTTTCTTATTTATTTATTTATTCTTTTTTAATTTCTATTTTTTTCCAATAACATGTAGAAAAAATTTTAATATTCATTTAAAAAAATTTGGGGTTCTGATTTCTCTACATCCCTTCAACACTCCTGTCCTTGAGGAGGCAAGAAATTGGATATAGATTATATATGTGCAGTCACAGAAAACATTTCCATCGGAATTTTTCTAAACCAGGGGTTCTTTGGGTATATAGATCTCAGGGAACCCATGAACTTGGATGGGAAAAAAATGATAGCTTTTTTTTCCACTAACCTCTAACTGAAATTTTGCAATTCTTTCAATTATTTAAAAACACGATTGTGAGAAGGCTTCCGCAGATAACCCAGAGGGAGCTGACACACACAGAAAGATAGAACATGCCTGGTCTCAGCCATTGTTGAATCTCAGTTTGTTTTCACCTGTGTAGCTTTGGGACCTGGTACGTGCCCTTGGAATGTGAGGTCGGGCCGGTAAGGCTGGCTTCTCCCCTCATCCGCATCGTGCCCCACTGTGATTTCTCCCAGCCTTTGTCGGGTCTCTGCAATCCCCAGACTTCTGGCACCCCCAACCAGATACATAGTCCTGAACCCAGTGACATTGGCTCATCTCCACCTCTCCGCCCTGGGCATTGTCCCTGGCTGCCCCCCATGCCTGGAGCATTCTCCCTCCTCATCTCCACCTGGCAGCTTCACTGGTTGCCTTCAGGCCCCAGCTAAAATTCCACCTTCTACAGGAAGCCTTTCTCAGCCCCTCAGAATTCTAGTGCATCCCTCTGCTGATTTTTTCCTCTTTATTTATCTACAGCTTGTTTGTACACAGCTGTTTGCTTGCTGTCTCCCCTGTGCGACTGGGAGCTCCTTGAGGGCAGGCACCATCTTTTGCCTGTTTCATATCCACAGCACTTAGCATGGTGCTTGGCACACAGTAGGCGCTTAATAAATGCTTATTGCCTGGCTGACTCCACGGGGGATTCCTGGCTGCTTTCTGTGCCCGGCCTTCTGGTGCCTGCTCAGTCTTTGGCTTCTTCGGCTGCAGAGGCCCAGGGAGCCATTTGCCAGGATTCCCAGATGTCTTTCCTCTGGTGGCTCACAGCCCATCATTTGATCTCTGTGGCTGGGCATATTTTCCTGCTAACCATCTTTTATTTATTCATGTGGAATCTTATCTGGGTGCTTGGTTTTTGTCCTTGTATCTCCAGCGTCTTGCTGACAATCGGCACTTAATTGAATCCTGTGGGACTGAAGTGAGACAGTCCTGGGATAGTGGACAGAGAAGTGTCCTTGGAGCCAGGAAGACCTAGGTCCAACTTTTCCCTCTCACACCCTGGCTGTGTGACCCTGGGCAGGTCCTTAACCTCTCAGTATAAGGTGCTAACATGTGTGGATGGGGGGGCAGGGCTTCCCCAGGAGTTCTCTATCCCTGTGACATTCTGGGCTGGTTCCTCTGCAGGTCCTGGCCTGGACTGGCTCAGACCAACTTGTCCTGTTCCCCTTGGCCACTCACACAGTCCCTGGGTTTGTGGGTTCTTGATCAGCTCAGCACTTTGCTGGCCAGAGCAGTTTGGGGTTACTTGAAGGCTTGGAGATGTCCTCATGTGCCTTCTTCCCACTTTCTTTCTAAAAGTGCTTTAAGAACAGACCAGCCCGCCAGCTTTCCACGTGGCTCCGTGGAGGACCCCAGAGCTGCCAGGGCACTCTCCGGGGACGTGCACCTCGGTTTCTCCCCCAGTCCCTGGCAAGCTGCATCTCTGGCTTGCTGCTTCAAACTGTCTTTCGTGTGGTGACTCTGTGGGCTCCTCTACAACCATCCAGACATTTCAGAGAGCCTCACCTCCCCCAGTGTCCTCAGCTTATCTGAAGAGTGTGGGCCGATGGCTCCATGTAGGTCAGCGGCGTCCAGTGGCAGCCAAGAAAATGATTGTAATCTGAGGCTATGTTCAGAGAAGGGGTGTGTCCAGGCCTAAGGAGTCCTCATCTGAGCACCAGGCTCTGGGCACAAAGGTTTCAGAAAGGCATTGATGAGCTGCAGAGTGTCCAGAGGAGGGCAGCCATGGTGGAGAAGGGCCTCAAATCCACTTCATAGGAGGATGAACTGAGGGACTTGAGCCTGCCCATCTCAGAGAAGAGAAGGCTTGGGGGAACATGATAGCCTCCTTCAAGTATCAGGAGGGGTGAGCCTTGCTCTACTCCGCCCCAGAGGGTAGAATCAGGGGCAGTGGGAAGGGGCAGAGAGGCCCTGAATACCTCTCAGTAGTGACAGCTGGACATTGAATCACTTGGGAGCCAGAGTGCTTCATGCCATGGTTGGCTGACCACTTGTGGGAAGGGGCAGGAGAGCCTCTTTGTTCAGGAGCCAAATGGTCAGACTACATGCCCCTGAGGTCCATGCCTGTGCAGTGGTACTGGGATCTGTGAAGCCATCTTCTGATGCTTCATTGAGGTGGAGAGATGATCAGAGATATCAAGGGCTCTGCAAGCCCTAGGAGGCCCCACCCAGCTGGGGGGGAGGGGTTTGTGTGGGGGCCCAGGCCTAGGTGGAGGGGTCTGGACAAGTGCAGAGAGGTAGGGCCTATGCTGGTCCCAGCAAGCAGAGCTTGCTGCCCACCTTGATATCACCACAGATTCTTGAAGGATTTGGGAGTATGAGGTACTAAAATATTTGGCACATGGGCTGACTCTTTATGGGGTTTTCAACAAGGGGTATGTGACCTTCAAAAAATCCCAACGACTTGGATAACTACTTCTGTATAATTAATTTCCTTAATTTAGTTTCTTGTTTGTATTTAAAAACATGATTCTGAGGGTGGGTCCTTAGGTGTCACCAGACTGGGTGCCCTGCCACCCAAGGGGTCTGGGACCTGAACCAGAGCAGATGAAAAGCCTTTCCCCAAGTAGCTAACGCCTCGTTAAGTTTGCTGGTGGCCTGTCCCTCCATGCAGCTTGTCTGACTCTGATGTGCTGGAAGTGTCCCTCACATTGTGCTTCAGCCTGCTGAATGTCATGCCCATTTCCACCTCTGCACGTTCTCTCCTTTCCCCTTTCAGTAACTTTGCTCATTCAGTCAGTCAAACGTTTACTAAGGGCCTGCTTGTGCCTGGCCCTGGGATACAAAGAGAGGCAAAAGAAGGTCCCGGCCCTGAAGGAGCTCACAGTCTAGTGTATATACAAAGCAGGACATCTACAGGATAAATAGGAAGTAAGTAGCAGGGGAAGGTGCTGGGGTTAAGAGGGGATGGGGAAGGCAATCAGTTCTGCCTTCTAGGGACCCAGCCTGGAACATCAGGGAGAATGTATTTTGGCTTTCTCCAGTTGCCCCCCACTTCCACCCCATCCCAGAGCTCTCTAGACTTCGACAAACATCAGTCAGTCCACAAGCATTTGTTAAGAGTTTGCTGTGGGGGGGGGGCAGCTAGGTGGCGCAGTGGATAGAGTACTGGCCCTGAAGTCAGGAGGACCTGAGTTCAAATTTGGCCTCAGACCAATCACTTGACACTTACTAGCTGTGTGACCCTGGGCAAGTCACTTAGTCCCAGTTGCCTTAAAGAAAAAACCCAACAACAACAAAAGAACTTGCTGTATGCCAGGCAGTGTGATAAGCTCTGGGGATATACAGAAAGGCAAAGACTGGTCCCTCCCCTCAGGGGGCTCCTGTTGTAGTGGACTGTACATACCTAAATGACACCTGAGAAAAGAGAGAGGTGTGGAGTGTCGGGACCTTCATGTTGTGCTCTCTGGACCCCTAGGAGAAGCAGGTCTGGCTGGGCTTAGTGCGCAAAGCGCCCCCTTCCCCCAATGCCCCCTTTGTCCCCCTCTCCTCCCTCTCCTCAGGTGTGGTAAACATCGGTGTGAACAATGTTCAGGAGCTGATTGTGGCTGCCGACATGCTTCAGCTGACTGAGGTGGTGGACCTGTGCTGTGAGTTTCTGAAAGGACAGGTGGAGCCATCCAACTGCATCGGCATCTTCCAGTTCTCAGAGCAGATCGCCTGCCATGATCTCCTGGAGTTCACAGAGAACTACATCCACGTGCATTTCTTGGAGGTGAGCAGCGGGGAAGAGTTTTTGGCGCTGACCAAGGATCAGCTGATTAAGATTTTGCGAAGCGAGGAGCTGAGCATTGAAGATGAGTACCAGGTGTTCTTGGCCGCCATGCAGTGGGTTCTGAAGGACCTGGGCAGGAGGAAGAAGCATGTGGTTGAAATCCTGGAGCCCGTCCGATTCCCTCTGCTACCTCCACAGAGGCTAGTCAAGTACATAGAAGGTAAGAGAGGGAGGCTGGGCTTTGAACTCACATTCGCGGTTGGTGCATGTAGTCAGGTTAGCCTATGAGGAAGGAGGCCCTCGACTTTCTCAGTTTGGATTGGTCATACCAGGCAACGGCATCAGCTCGATGAAGCATCTGCTCCTTGCAGAACCCCATGCTATGTCCAGGGGAGATGGAAAGATTCAGTAAGGCTTGCTCTATGCCCCGTGGTCGGACCATCTGTGCAACAATAATGGAGTCTCATAGGGCCCAAGCAGAGCAGTGTGCAGTGTGGGCAGGGCCCTGGAGGCCCTTTGTCTGTCCCACAGACATGGGTTCCTGTCCTTCCCGGTTGTTAGTGCTTCTGTCTAAGGGGAAGACTGCCAGCCGTGCTCTGTGTAGAAGTTGTAGCCTGGTGTAGGGGTACAGAGCTGGCCTCAGGACAAGGAAGCCCAGGATTCTAGTCCTATCTCTGACCCCTCCTGGCCATGTGACCCTGGGGGAAGGACTTCACTTTTCAAGGATCTGTACTGGGGGAGGGAATTTACTCCTCTGAGACATCCCTGTACTAGTGAAGTCCTGCGTCCAGTCCCAGTCCTCATCCCGGTCCCATCTCCCCACAGCACCACCACCTTTCATTACAAAACGTGTCCAGTCCAAAACAGTAGCTGATAGTATTATTGGTGGTGTTATTTTTGTTTAGTTGGGTTTGATATATATTTTCAATCAGCAAAAAAAACCCAACCCTTTTCTCCCTCCCATTCCAACATTCCTGCCCCCAATTGAGAATAAAAGAAAAAAACAAAAACCCTGTTACATAAATAGTTAAGCAAAATAAGTTTCTGCATCAGCCACCAAAAAATACCTGTTTTGCTGAGTCCTTCACCTCTCTATCAGGAGGCAGGTGGCCTGTTTCATCATGAGTCCTCTGAAATTGTGGTTGCTTCTCATATTCATCAGAGTTCCTAATTCTTTCAGAACTGTTTGTTTTTACCACGGTGTTGTCATTGTATATATTATTCTGGTTCTGCTCACTTTATCAACTGCATTAGTTCATACAAGTCTTCCCAGATTCTCCTGAAATCATCCCTCTCATCATTTCTTATAGCACAATAGAATTTCATCACATTCATATGCCATAACTTGTTCAGCCATTCCCCACTTGATGGGCAGCCCTTCAGATTCTCATCCTTTGTCATGACCATATGAGATGTTGTAAATATTTGTGTACATCCTTAATTAGAGTTTGTTTTGCTTAGGACTTATTCCTCCCTTAATTCACCCTCCCTTTAATTCCTCCTTCTCCCTTCTCTTCTTTCTCTCCTATTTCCCTGTTGACAGAAATGTAGTTTTATACTCAGATCTGTGGGTGTATATATGAGTGTGTCTTGTTTTCTCCTTTGACCAGTTTTGATAAGAGCAAGGATCTCATGTCAGCCACTTCCTTCACCCCCTCCTCCTTTTTATATAGATGTCTGCTTGTGAGCCCTGATTATGAGATAATTTTCTTTCCTTAATCTTCCTTTCCCTTGTCCCCCCATTTCCCCTCCAGTATATTCCTCTTTCTTTCTCTTTCCATTCTTCTTTTAGAATCATCAAGTCATAACAGAACCCTCCTGGCCCTTTCCTAATTAGACTCCCTCTGTGACCCCTGATGATGATAGGGATCAGAGGGGACACATGTATCATCTCCCTATATTTGAATGTAAGCAGTTTCTCCTTGTTTAATCCTTTATTATTGTTGATTTAGGGTTTTTTATTATGTTTTTCTTTATTCTTAGGTTTACATTTCAAAACTCTGGTTTTTTCATCAGGAATGTTTTGAAGTCCTCTAATTCATTAAAGGTCTAATTTCCCCCTCTGTAGCATTATGCTTAGCTTTGCTGAATAAGTTATTCTAGGATAAGCCCATATACTTTGCCTTCTGAAGTATCAGATTACAAACTGTGTGCTCCTTCATCATGGTGGCTGGTAAATCCTGTGTGATCCTGACTGTGGCTCCTTTTACTTTTGGCCTGGAAGCTCTGGCTTTTGTCTATAATGTTCCTGAGAGTTTTCATTTTGGGGTTCCTTTTAAAAAGGAGGTGACTGGTGGGTTCTTTCTATTTCTGCTTTGCCCTCTGGTTCTCAAGGATCTGGGCAGTTTTAAGGTTTTTGAAATATGGTGTCTAGGCTCTTTTTTTGATCATGCTGTTATAAGCAGTCCAGTGATTGTTAAATTTTTTCTCCTTGATCAGTTCTCTGTGTGAGTTTTTGTTGTGATATCGCATTTTCTTCTATTTTTTCCAGCGTTTTGATTTTGTTTTAATATTTCTTGTTGTCTCATGGAGTCTCTGACTTCTCTTTGGTCCATTTGAATTTGTGAGGAGTTTGTTGCTTGGGCAGGTTTTATAGCTTTTGCTAAGATAATTTGCTTACTAATCCTGTCTTCCATAGCTCTCATTACTTTTCCAGTTTTTTCCTCTAGTGTTCTCATTTCATTGATAAAAAATTTTTTTTCTAATTCTTTTTAACTCTCATTTTATCTCTGAGAAATTTGAATTGAGCTTGTGCCCAAACTGAGTTTTCCTCTGAGGCATTGCTTGGAGAGGGTTTGGAGTAATTCTTTTTCTGGGCACTTTCTGAGGGTCTCTGCCACCATACTGGTCTTTGGGGTGGGTTTCTTTTTTTGTTTGCTATTAAGTATCCAGCTTACTTCCTGACTTGGGACTTGATATGGGGCTGGGCCCTGCCACGCTTCTAGAGGGAAAGTCTTCACTGCCTCTGCTGCTGCTTTCTTGTGGTTTTGAGGTTTGTGTTGCTCCAGGTTCCAGTGCTGGGGACCCATAAGCTTTCAGCGCTCCTGAAGTGGTCTGATCCAGGGCAGCAGCTGATCTCTTCCCCCGTCCCGCCCCCCCCCAACTTCCTCCTTCTGCTTTCGGCAACTTCCTGACCCTGGTTTGGGTCTGAGCGAGAATGGACTGCTTCTGGACTCCGTCTCTTGTAGGCCTCCCTTTGGTCTGGGATTTCTGCCCTGGTTATTTGTCCACAGACTTCATATCGGGCTGGAAGCTGGCACTGAGACTTGACTCCAGTTCTGGGCTCGAGGCATATCACTGCATCTTGCTTCTGAACATTCCTTTTGCTCAGTAGACAGCCCAGTTAGGGCCTGGAAATACCACCCCTAGGCATATATGCCCTCCTACCCAGAAATGGATGGTGGGCAACAAAGGTGCCAGTTGGCACCTGTTTCCACAGTCTGCAGAGAGTCTTAGGGCCACCGTGTGGCTTGCCTTTGGGCACTGCCTTTCTCTCAGGGTCCATGGACCTCCCTATGCTAACCTGAGCTGGATAAATGACTCACTGAGATTTTTTCCTTGAATTTCCCCATTAGAGTGCAATCTGGTGCGTTTCTAGATCTGTTTGGAAGAGACTGTAAGGGGGGAAGGGAAGGGAACTCGCCCTACTTCTGCTCCTCCCTCTGGTATGTTGTGTCGTGTTTCCTTTTCTCCTTGGATCTGAAACTATTCAGCACTGGTCAGTGCCCTGGGGCACCCTTTGGTGTTTGTGTCGTACACTGTGGGCAAGGGGAAGGAATTCTTGAGAGCACTTGAGAGCCAGCGCCTGAGACCTTGGTGGGTGCTGCAGGCCCACCCTCTGCCCTGTAGCCTGATGGCAAGATGGGACCGTCCAGAGGCCGGATGCAGTGGAGGCAAAGCTGAGGGTTAAGGTCAGCCTACATGGAAAAGGAGGGAGAGGGAGAGAGGAGAGGGAAAGGGAAGGGGGAGAAAGAGGAAGGAGGGAGATGGAAGATGAGAAAGAGGGGGAGAGGGAGGAGGAGATGAGAGATGGAAGAGGAAGGAGGGAGGAGGAAGACGGGAGGAGAGGGAGGAGGAGATGAGAGATGGAAGAGGAAAGGAGGGAGGAGGAAGACAGGTGGAGAGGGAGGAGGAGATGAGAGATGGAAGAGGAGAGGAGGGAGGAGGAAGAGGATAGGAGAGGGAGGAGGAGATGACAGATGGAAGAGGAAGGAGGGAGGAGGAAGAGGGGAGGAGAGGGAGGAGATGAGAGATGGAAGAGGAAAGGAGGGAGGAGGAAGAGGGGAGGAGAGGGAGGAGATGAGAGATGGAAGAGGAAGGAGGGAGGAGGAAGACAGGAGGAGAGGGAAGAGATGAGAGATGGAAGAGGAAGGAGGGAGGAGGAAGAGGGGAGGAGAGGGAAGAGGAGATGAGAGATGGAAGAGGAAAGGAGGGAGGAAGAAGACGGGAGGAGAGGGAGGAGGAGATGAGAGATGGAAGAGGAGAGGAGGGAGGAGGAAGAGGATAGGAGAGGGAGGAGGAGATGAGAGATGGAAGAGGAAGGAGGGAGGAGGAAGAGGGGAGGAGAGGGAGGAGGAGATGAGAGATGGAAGAGGAAAGGAGGGAGGAGGAAGACGGGTGGAGAGGGAGGAGATGAGAAATGGAAGAGGAAGGAGGGAGGAGGAAGACGGGTGGAGAGGGAGGAGGAGATGAGAGATGGAAGAGGGAGGAGGGGGGAGGAAGAGGGGAGGAGAGGGAGGAGATGAGAGATGGAAGAGGGAGGAGGGGGGAGGAAGAGGGGAGGAGAGGGAGGAGGAGATGAGAGATGGAAGAGGGAGGAGGGGGGAGGAAAAGGGGAGGAGAGGGAGGAGGAGATGAGAGATGGAAGAGGGAGGAGGGGGAGACAGAGGAATGAAGTTGGGAGGAAAGGAGAGGAGGTGGTACATGGGTGGAGCCTGGAGGAAGACCAGTAGTGGGGAGGTGGTGATGAGAGGGCTGAGTGGCCGGCCTCTCACCACTCTGACTCGTGATGCCTGGGGTTATCATCCAGGTTCAATGTCTTTTCTCACACTGACCAGGGCCTTCAGGAAACAGGCCTCTCAAATAATCTTGCTCACATATTTAAACTCTTGAGAACAGGGAGAGCAGAATTATGCAACTACATTTTCCCTAGAATCACGCCACCCCTGCCTGGCCTCCTCTTGCTCTTCATCTCTGCCTCCTGGCCTCCCTGGCTTCCTTCAACTCCCAGCTGAAATCCCACCTTTTCCAAGGAGCCTTTTGTGAGCCCTCTTCATGCTGATCAGGCCCTCCCCTTGGTTATCTCCAGTCTAACCAGCCTGTAGCCTGTTCGTGTGGTTTGTGGCACGTTGTCTCCCCCACTAGACTGAGCTCCGTGTGAGTCCCTTGATTTCCCCAGGACTTAGCACATAATAGGGACTTGGTGAATGTTTGTTGACCAGCTGGTTGGCCAGTGCTGAGATGTTTTCTGCTGTCTTTTCCCCAAGGAGTCCCTGACTTCAGCCTCCGAGTGGCCCTGCAGACACTGTTGAAGGAGTACTGTGAGATGGGCAAGCCTCCCAAGGAGAACAGGTTCTGCAGTTTTCTGCAGACCTCCAAGGTGCGGCCTCGCAAGAAGGCACGGAAGTGCCTGTATGCCGTGGGTGAGCATCTTTTTGCATCCTTCACACAGAGGCTGTGAGCCGTCGTCCTCAGAGTGGAGGGGGGGACCATCTGCCACATTCGACAGATGGGCTTGCCGCCCTTTGGTTTCCAGTCTGAGTCATCGCTGGGAGAGAAGGGGAAACCCCCAATTTGTAGTTGGAATCTGGGGCTTATTGATCTCAGCTTAGCTAAGAACAAAGAGCCACCTGGGAAAACGCTTCCCTAAAGCCAGAAGACTTTTGTGGGAACATGGGAGAAATGAGGCTGCACATTGCTGAACCGTATCCAAGCAGGGCTCAGCCTGCAGTGGGTGGCCTGGCCTGGTGGCTTCAGCTGCTGCCCTAATCAGCTGAAGAAAGGGTCAGAATGACCCCCAAAATCAGCTGCCACAGCAGTCCCTTGTCTCAGTGCCCCCCCCCAGCCTGATCTCCATTCCAACCAAGCTCATGTTCTCTGGGCCTGGGACACTCCTCCGAGGGAGGCGGGACTAACCTGGCGTGCGTGCCCTTTCTCCTTTCCCCAGGCGGATACACCCGGCTGCAGGGGGGCCGATGGAGTGACAGCAGAGCTCTCAGCTGCGTGGAGCGCTTCGACACCTTCAGCCAGTACTGGACCACAGTGTCTTCACTCCACCAGGCCCGCAGCGGCCTGGGAGTGGCGGTAGTGGGAGGGATGATCTACGCCATCGGAGGTAATGACCGCACGGGGCAAGCCGATCCCCGAGGAGCTGGCGGACTGATGCCAAAGGCCCAACACTTAGGCTCTGGGGGCTGGGCAGAATCCATCTGTGGGTGGGGTGGAGGCAGAGTACAAGGGCCAGGTAGCATGTGGCGATATTTTTTACAGGCGACCCTAATGACTTCTCATTTTCAAATACATTTGAATTGATGCCTTGTGTTTTTACAGCACACACATGTCCCAGTGTAGTAGGCTTGGGCTCCTTGGAATGGAACCTTGCCCAGAATTTAGGGCCTTCAGAATGACTGCAGAGGAAGCTCAGCCAGGGGCAGGCACTAAATGTAGGAGACAGTGACCAGTCGTGAGGGCTCAGGCCCTGGCCGTGTTGGTCTGAGGTACAGCTTCCAGCTGAGGGGGCACACTGCTCCTCCAGCATCCCCTCCCCAGCTGGAGTTCCCTGGCCTTTTCTTTTTTGACATTGCAGTCTGAAGAACTCCTAGCCAGACTCAAATAGCCGATTGTTGTGTGGGCCATGACCGCCTTCCTTCCATCCTCGGCAGGCAGCAGTGTCTGCCTTGGTGGGTTCAGAACCGAGCATCTGGTTATGCCCCTGTGATGGGTGACAGTTTAGGCTCCGCTGGCCGGGCTTTTAGGGACCCCTGGGTTCTGTGCCAGGACAAGGGGTCAGGCATTCAGATGTGGGCTCTGTCTCTGTGCTGCCCCTAACTAGTCACTCAGGATCATGGCACAGAGGACAGCAGGTCATGCCCCCCTGTTTTACAGAGGAGGAAACTGAGGCCCAGGGATGCTGAAGGGCCCTGCCTGAGGCTACATATGCAGACAGAATCCAAGGCAGAACTAGGACCCAGCTCCTCAGACTCCAGAACTGGCCTCCTTTCCTCAGACCTTGGCTCCCTCCCCTACCTGGGCTGCCTGTTTGTCTTGGAATGTCCTCAGAGGGCTCTGTTGATGATTGACGCCAGGCTAGACCCCCAGAGGATGGGGAGAAGCCATTCAGACTTCATCTTCTTTCCCTGTGGCTTGTTATCTCCTCCTCCTCTTTCTCCTCCTTGGCCTTCTCGGAAACCACCCCGATCTCCAACGGTTCCTGGGCCTCCAAGGCCACTGGGCTTGGCCCAGTCCAGCCATCAGTCTCCCCCTCCTCCATGGCCCCTTTCACAGCTCTGGAACCCTCTGAGTTGAAGTCCCCAAAACTGAACCCTTTAGACGACCCTGTCTGCCTGTCAGTGACTATCCCGGCACCCCCAGAGCCAGGCTCTTCTGTCGTGTTTTCAGAGCGACCTTTGAAAAACAGGGTTTTGTAGGACTGGCTCCTTTGGCTGCGTCAGCCGGCTTTGGTCCTTCGGTGCCAGCCAGACGGCGCAGCCTTCCCTCTCTACGTTGCTACAAGAATTCAAGCTTCTTTTGCTTCTTCTGCAGCGGCAAATTCAAAGGATGAGGACCCTTGGGTCAGCCTTGGTTGTTCTGGTGCAGGCTGATGGACGTCGCCTCCTCAGATGCTCCTGAGGCCTGTAGGCGAGGGCCTGGCTCTGCCGGCTTGCTGCTGCTCGCACTGCAGGAATGATTCTTCCCACGCTCTTGTGCTTGACTTCTGTGCGCTGTGTTGTACAGAATGAGCGCCTGCTGTCAGCCTGTGCTGCAGCTTCCTCTTCCAAGGCCTTGTCCCCAACTGCTTGTGTCTTAAATTCAATGTGGGCAGTTCCTTGGGGCAACCTCTCCTTGGCCCAGGCCACTCTGACCTCGGTAGCATCTTCTAACCCTTCCTTGACCTCCTCCTGAGTTACTTTACACAGAGCATCCTTGCATCTAGATCTTTCTCGTTCTCTTTTGCTTTTTCCAGCTTCATTTCAGAGCTCAGCACTTTGGAGCCATTGAGTTCCATGTCTTTTCCATGTCTTTAGCAGATTCGAATTCTCCATAGCCTGCGTGCTGATCCAGACATCCACAGTGGTAAGGTGCTTTTTTTGCAGAGAAGTCCGTGAAGTCAGTTTTCAGCTCAGAAGTGGTTTTATTGAAGTTCAGGTTACCAGCGAAGAGGCTGAAATTTCTAGATACTTCAGCTTCTGTTTCTGTTCCTTGGCTTTGGGGGCTTTCTCTTTGCCCTTTTCCTCTTTCCTGGTCCTGCTTTGATGTCTCCTTTCCCTCCCCCCCCTTCTTCCCTTCCTCCCTCTCCCCCTCCTCCTCCTCCTCCTCCTCTTCTTCCTTTCCCTCCTTCTCCCCCTCCTCCTCCCCTTCTTCCCTTCCCTCCCTTCCCCCACTCCGGTTCCTTGGCTTTTCCAGGAGCAGCCTTCCCTTTGGCTAGCTGCTTCTCCAGTCGTCCTCGGGCTCTTCTTTGGCTGGAGCTGCTCCTGTTTCTCTCCTCCTCCGCATCTTTGCTGTCCTCCTCCTCACCTTTCCGGCCGTCTGTCGCCCCTTTGCTTGGGGTCACTGCTGCTTTCTCTGGGCTGGCTCCCTTCTTGCCTGGTGGATGACTCCACTTCCTTGGCAGGCCCACAGTGGCCTTCTCAGCAGGATTCATGCTTTTTCAGCTGCTGGTATCTTCTTTGCCTCCTTGCCCTTCATCTTCTGACATGTCCTCATCCGCACTGTCTTCTGCCCCTGTTGGAGGAGGAGCCATTTTCTTGGGCTCACCTTGATTTTCAGCAGTGTTTCTGAGCTTTACCACGGTGGCAGCATGTGACCAGGGGCAAGAGGGACAGATCTGTTAGCAAAGGCCCGAAATCAGTGGTGGTGGAAAGCACTGGGAGGAGTCCCTCCACAAGCAGCCCTTTGTTGGCGGACACTGAGACCAAAGCGAGAGCTCTTTCCCTTGGGCGCTCTCGCCGGGACAGATGGGGCTCACCTAACTCCCCAAAGTACTCCCACCAGGGTGTATGGTCACCGGCCTCTGTGGGGTCCCCCTGCCTGCCCTGCCTGTGGCCTCATTTCTTTCCTAAGTGAACAGGCCTGGCAGAAAGGACCGCCATAGCACAGCCTGGGGTGTGGTCCTCCAGCAGCCCAGACTGCTCACCAGAGGGAGCTGCCATCTTGGAAAAAAAAATTTAGTATCTGGCCACTTCCTACATTGACCCTCTCCCTGAAGGCCTGCCTTGCCTGCCCAGGCTGTTAGGTCGTGCCCTTGATCTTTCCTCACATAACCATGCCATGCTTGCATCTCCCCATGTGGACTGAGTCCTTGCGGGCAGGGAATCTTTTGTATTGTCATTGTGTTCTGGTTCTTAGGCACCTAACATGGTGGTAGGTGGACTGGATTGAGCTGAATGCCTGGAAATCTTGTTTCCTCCACCAGGGTTGGCTTCTTGAAGGCAGAAGTCTGTGTGTTACACTTCTGCTCTGTCCTCCTCTGTGCCTGGCATAGGCCTGACACATCGCCATAAATACTGGATTGATTCATTATTGTGACTCGCCAGGCTTTCATCTAAATACAGTAGATTTCATTTCCTAGCCTGGGGATATGTTTATCTGAGAAGTGTTCCCGGCTTTGTGGTGGTTTTTTTTTTTCATCTCAATTAGATGATCTTCCCAAATTCTCTGGCTGATTCACAGGGTGGGATGTGGGGTGTGTGCTTGGCCCTGGCCAGAACAGGCTGAGCTTAGGCAGGGATAGGGAAGCTGCTAAGGGCTGGGGGAGTTGGAGCCCAGTCTGTCTTCTTATGGATTGTTCTCTGTTTCCTAAAGGGGAAAAGGATTCGATGATCTTTGACTGCACTGAGCGCTATGACCCAGTCACAAAGCAGTGGACAACTGTGGCTTCCATGAACCAGCCCCGCTGTGGCCTGGGGGTGTGCGTGTGTTATGGGGCTATCTACGCTCTTGGTAAGTATGTGTGGCCGTCTCTAATGGAGAGTCTGCCTGCCCTGGTCCCTTGGGAGAGGCTCTTCAAAGGGCAAATTCTTGATCTCCAGATTTCCTGAGGATGCAGCTCAGTCAGGGAGCAGGGAAAGGACAGGGTGCCAGCAGATGCACGTTGGAGCAGTGCAGGGGACTGAATCAAGTCCATGTTTTTGCTTCTTCCAATTAACTGGTGCTTTGCATCAAAAGAACTTGAGCTATTCCTCCATCTGAGGAAGGTGGGGTTAGAAGCCCTCTAACTGGCTGCCTGCTCTAGTCATGAATTACATTTGTAATTAGCGGCACCTACATGCAGATAACATACTTTGTCATGTGAACAGTCAATTCTCTTGCCTAATTTAAATATTCCCCCCCTTTTTTTTTCTTTTTGGTGATGCAGTCAGAGTTAAGTGACTTGCCCAGGGTCAAAAAGCTAGTAAGTGTCCAGTGTCTGAGGCCAGATTTGAACTCAGGTCCTCCTGACTTCAACGCCCGGTGCTCTATCCACTGCGCCGCCTGGCTGCCCCTCCTTTCCTCCCCTGCCCCCATTCTTATAGCTAGGAACACTCTTTGAAAACAGTGGTGAATGACAGACTTCTCAGGCTCTAAATTGAGCCTAGATTAATGAACTTTGGAGCTCACTAAACAGCGCTCTTTGGAAGGAAAGGCTTTCTTTTAACGGCCTCCCTCTTCTCCCTCATCTGACCTGTTGGGTATGGCTGCCAGCCCTGTTTGAGAAGAGCTCCCTGAAGATAACATGCCTGTCTTGTCCACTGGGGTCTGGACTGTGTTCTGTCAGGGGTCCAGGGGCACTGGCCTCCTGAGCCTCATCTCTGACTGGGGCATGAAAGGCTGCTAGTTCTTGTTGGAGGAATTTCAAGTAGAGAGAAGGTTGGGGAAGCTTGGGACCGGAGTCAAGGGCCCTTCCCTGTAGGGTTAAAGCTAAGGGGTGGCCACTGTCTAGACAGTGTCAGGGGAATAGGGGGAGAATGTGTTTTAATTGGTTTTGTTCAGATTTAAAATTGCATTAATTGTAGTTTTTGAAAAATTATGTGCAGTCCAAATAATCTTTCCTAAAGACCACTTTTGGGGCAGTGAGGTGGTGCGGTGAATAGAGCACTGGCCTTGAAGTCAGGAGGACCTGAGTTCAAATCTGGCCTCAGACACTTGACCCTTAACTAGCTGAGTGATCTTGGGCAAGTCACTTAACCTCATTGTGTAGTCACAACAACAACAACAACAAGAAAAAACAAATAAAAACCACCTTTGAGAGCAAAACTTGCAAGTAGCCAGAGTGGTCAGTGGCCCCAAGGCCAGCAGCTCCAGAGGCCTTTTACAAAGGGCAGCTATTTTGAAAGCCTGTTTTGCCCACATAGATTTTAATGACTTCTTACTGACTCAGTTCAGCACCTTAATAAGACCCAGTAAGTCTCCGTTATCGCCATTCCTTGTGTTCTGTCGGGGGGGGGGGCCAGTCTGACATCCAGAGTCACCCAGCTAGCGTAGGCTAGCTAGGTCCCCGTCAGGACTGAACCTAGATTTCTTGAGGAGTACCTTCCCACTCGCCTGGACTGGGTGCCCCTCCTCCAGGTGACGGGCTGGGCTGGGGGCTTCTGCGGGGTCTCTCCCAAGGCAGCAGCCTTTGCTCTCGGTTGCAGGTGGATGGGTGGGAGCCGAGATAGGAAACTCCATCGAACGATTTGATCCTGAGGAAAACAGCTGGGAAGTTGTTGGCAGCATGGCCGTGCCGCGCTACTACTTTGGCTGCTGTGAGGTCCAAGGTAAGGACTTGCTGGAGCCTCGGGATGGGAAGGAGGTGGCCTCCTAGCTCCGGCAGAGGCCACAAGGGGGCGCCACGGTGCCCAGAGCCCTGGGCCTGGGTCAAGAAGACCCAACTCTGTGTCTCTGGGAAGGTCACTTCACCTCTGTCTGCCTCAGTTTCCTCATCTATAAAACAGAGGTGATCCTGGGCCATTGTGAGGATCGGATGAGATAATGTTTTTAAAGCCTTTAGCGCAGCGCTGGCATATAGCAGGCACGGCCTTCCTAAGCTGGCAGAGGAGACCTGTTTAGTGGAACACACCTATAACCGGACAGCAAGCCTGCTTCTTCTCATGACTGCTGTCCTGTGGGTTTTGTGCGTGAAGTGGGCAGCAGGTGAGCCTGGACGGGAACCTTCCCCACCCACTACTGGGCAGCCTGCCCCCCACTGCCAGGAGGTCAAAGGCTCCTTCTATCCCCATGTATTCATAGCAGTCCTTTCTGTGGTGGCCGAGAAGTGGCTGCACAGTGGTCCCCGTCAGCTTGGGAGCGTGGCTGAACCCAGCACAGTATGTGAATGTGATGGAGTGTGATAGTGCAGTGTGAAATGGGAACCATGAGGAATTCAGAGGAAGGACAGGTGGGTCCCCAGAGAGGAGATGGTGGGGCCTTACCAAACCAGTGGCAGTCTCAGAGAAGAGATGCTGAGACCTGAGCCACAAAGGCAAAAAAGCAGGGGCCTCTGTGGCAGACGGAGCGTGGGACACACCTGCAGCCGTATCATGCAGTTCTGCTTCATTGTTTTACGGTGACCTTGCCCCCAAGTCAGTCTGGAGGGGCAGAAGAGGACCTCTCTGAATGTAAGAACAAAAGGAAAGAAAGAAGCCTTCGTGGTTTGTTTCTTCTTTAGGCCTTGAGACCAGGACCTCGTGGCATGGGGGTGCCAGGAGGAGCCCTGTGTGAATGAGCCACGCCCTCCTGCCCTTGGGGTCTCCCCAGAGAGGGGCCCTGTGAGGCCCCCGTTCGTGGTTAATGGGTCTGATGATGTTAAGCCCTTATTTGTGTCTCTGTCGGAGCTGGCATCTTCTATGTCCCCAGGTTTAATCTATGTGGTTGGCGGCATCAGCAATGAGGGCGTGGAGCTCAGTACCGTTGAAGCATACAACCCAGTTTCCAAGTGCTGGTCCATGCTCCCTCCCATGGGGACCAGGAGGGCCTATCTGGGGGTGGCTGCCCTCAATGACTGCATCTATTCGATTGGAGGGTGGAATGAGACCCAGGATACGCTGTCCTCTGTAGAAAAATACTCCTTTGAAGAGGTACGGTAGGGCAATTTGGGGTGCTGCTCTCCTGCATGGGTTTGTGAGGGGCCTGAGTGACACAGCCCCCATTTGGAGTCTGCCCTGCCTAAGGTCATTTGTTTCACAAGAAGCAGGAAGGAAGGAACATAGATCTGGGGTGTTTAGAAGATGGCTGTGCAATGATGGTGAATACTTCTCCTGTCTTCTCCTAGTGGGGCCTGGTCCCAGAATACATCATCTGGGCCCAGGAAGGAGAGGCTTCTCCCAGTGGCCACAGAGGGTGCACCTAGTGATTAATTTACTCCGTGGGGCTCTCATTCATGGTAATCAGAGCTCTCCCTCCCACTGTATGTCCCAGGACCACTCCAAGAGTGCCTCGGGCTGCCCCGAGCCAGGCGTCAGGCACAGTGTTGTCCTGGCCAGAAGTCTTAGGTTTGGGTCTTTGGGATCCAAAGTCACTGGGAGTCGTCCCAGGCCCTCTGGGAATGCTTTATCCAGGACTCACTGCTTACTGTCCATCGCTAGGCCATAGTGACTGGCAACATTCCAGATTCCCCACCCATTTCTCAGCATGTTTCTATTTGGCCACAAAACGGTTAGGTTGTCTCCTAAAGGGAGTGAACTCTAGTGATGTTTCTCGTCCTTTTTTGTACGTGGAAAGGTGACCTTTGAGGATGATCTGCAATCCCTTGGGCCAGTTAGGGTGTGTTGTCCCTGACATTGGGAACAGCATGGCTTTCCCTAAAAGAGAGGCCAGGTCATCTTCCAAGGCCTGTGACCTTTCTCACCTCAGGCCTAAAAATCGCTGCTCAGCCACAAAGTTATCCTCCCCTCATCTGAATTTCTCTCTCTTTTCTCTGCCTGTGCATCCAGTGAGTTTCTGATGTTCAGGGTGTGCCAGGCCTGGTGCTGCAGGTTGATGAGCAAGCTCGCGTTGCCTTCCTTCTCAGGGCTCTCTGGGTCTGAGGTCCTGTGGATTCTCAGCTCTCCAAAACTGTCCTGTCCTCTGACTCGGCCCGGGTCAGGGGCGTGTTTTTGTAACCTGGTTCCCAGGAAGGCAGTGGTGGCCTATGTCCCAGATGCACACTGGGTCAGCGTCCCTGGGGAGTGCTCTCCATCACCTCTTTAGGCCTTTTTTGTGGAACACGCTCACTTATCTCAAAGGCCAGGCCTCTGAATGTTTTGGGGTGCCTTCTCTGGGCTCCTCGCCATGTCCCACAGCCTCATGCTAACTCTGCCCTGCCCCATCCCCCAACTCTTGTTTTGTTTGACTGCTAATCTCTTGCTTTTCTATCCTGACCAGGAGAGGTGGGTTGAAGTCGCACCTATGAAAGTGCCCCGAGCTGGTGTGTGTGTTGTGGCCATAAATGGGCTTCTGTATGTTTCTGGAGGCCGGTCTTCCAGCCACGATTTCTTGGCCCCCGTCACCTTGGACTCAGTCGAAGTGTACAACCCTCATTCTGACACATGGACTGAAATTGGTAACATGATCACCAGTCGGTGCGAAGGGGGTGTAGCTGTGCTGTGACCAGTGTCAGAAAACCTGGGCTCATGCGGAAGAGGACGCTGGGGCTTGGGGCAGAACTAGAGGAGAGAGAGGGAGGCCCTGAGGTCAGAAGGAGGATGTTCCCAAGTGCAGACAGGGCTGAAAAGCCGGCTGGTGCCATGTTCCTAAGAGCGGTGTGGGACAGGCTTGGCATCTGTTACAGGCAAAAGCCCACCTTGACAGGGGGCCATCGGGCTCCCATTCCCAGATCCATCCTGCTCAAGGACCCACATTGCCCCTTCTGTGCCTATGGTCCTGTCAGGGGCTCTTCCTGTGCAGTCTAAGTACTCCACATTAAGTTCTGTTCACCCACAATGAAAACGATACCACTGCCTGTGCCACCTGCCCCACAGGGGAAAACCCGGGGAATAACTGCCCAGCCCTTAGTGCCAGGGTGTCTTTCATTGGCACCAGACCCTCAGTTGGCAGCATATTTACTGGGAGAGCCTGGTGGGAAATGGACACGATCCCGTCAGGAGCTCGTGGCAAACCTTGGCTTGCTGGCTCCTGAGTGGGCAAATTGAGAAATCCCAGCCAGCCTTCTGAAACAGAGGCCATGGGCAGCAGCCCCAGCCCTTGCCTGCCCGAGGAGGGGTCACCCACAGATCATGCCTGCTTAGCTGTTAGAAAAGGGTGAAGCTTCAGGCCTCTGTCCCACTCCTCCCCCAGCTGTTGTGTGCCTGCCCGCCTGCCCCTGAGACTTTGCTTCAGCGGGGCTGCCCAGGCCCCTCGCTTGCTCACCTTTTCACCTCCAGGCCTTTGGGAAAGGATGGGGTCCTGGGGTGGAAGGCTCAGCCTGGGACTGCTCTGCACCTTGCTTGCCTGGGCCAGCTTCAACTCCCCAGTTCTCAAGGGCCTGGTACACCCTGGACCCCCAAGTTGCTTATTGATAGAGCAGTTGTGCAGATTTTTTATTCCCTTACTGTGGCATTCTAAACACTGGCTGCATCTTAGATCGAAAAAGCTTACTTTAGTACACCTTGGCAAAGGCACTTTTGGTGTAGAAACCCCCTGCCAGTCACTGTCCTCCTGCCCTGTAGAATGTGATCGTCACGGCACCTGCCTTAATAGGGTGGTTGTGACGATCCAATGAATTCATCTCTGTAAAGCGCATTGCAAATGCCAGCTCTTCTCTGCTCCTAATAAACGCTGGAAAGGTTCTACTTGCATGCGCTGGTTGTCTTTTTTGGGGTGGCTGGGTGTTAGAAATCGAGGCTCCACCTTGAGTCAAGACCTCCGTCCCTTTGTGCACCGTTCAGCATGGGAAGATACTTCCAGAAGGCCTAAACGAATGTGTGAGAAAATGACCTGGGTTTTTGTTGCTAAAAAGCTCTGCCTTCCTTCGTTGGAAGCCAAACTTGGGAACACTCACTGACCACGACATACCTCAATGGAACAAAAGGCCAGGTCATCCAGAGGCCAGGGCATAAGTCACCCAAAGGGGTCATTACCTTGAAAAGGCTTGGGTAATCAAGAGAGAAGCCCATCGCCGGTTTTGGTCTTATTCTGGCCTAAGTTTGCAAAACATGATCCCACTGGGGTCATCTTGTCTTAATTCTTCCTTCTCATATACTTCACCCACACAGGAAAGCCCTTGGATAGCTTCTCCTAAAGGGAGAAGACAGAAGGGCTGTGGAATCCTCAGAGACACAAACATGTGATGGGAGCCAGGGGGGCCACTAGGGTTTGGCCTGGCAGCCACATCTCAAGGCAAAGGCCTAAGGAATAATGGTGCCTTCTAATTAAAACAAGATACTGATGGAATGAGTGTATGCTATTATGTTTCCTCCTTTATGTAAATTCTGTAGCCGATTCTGGGACACAGTACGACTTTGCTTGGAGCAGCTCGCCACTAGATTTCCTTAGCTGTGGCTAAAGGGAAACTTTTTTTTTAAGCCAGTTGGGGTTAAGTGACTTGCCCAGGGTCATACATCTAGTATGTGTCAAGTGTTTGGTCTGAGGCCACATTTGAACTCGGGTACTCCTGACTTATGGGCCGGTGCTCTATCCACTGCGCCACCTAGCTGCCCCTTGGGAAATCTATTTTTTTAAAAAGTATGGCATATCAGAACAAGTCAAAAAATTTTTGTCCCCAAATTTTTCAATGCCATTTGCTTAATAAACTACCCAACTCAAGAAAGCTGTCTTATGCCAGGCTTTGCCCAGCTACCTGCTCCATCATCCCTCCTGGAAGGCTTAGGAGCTCTGACGATTCCTCTGGTTCACTGTGGGAAGGGGGTCAGAAGGAAGCCATTAGATGAAAAGGGTACCTCATCAAGGACCCTTGTCTGTCCTTTATATGTCTCAATAAGGCTGTTGGTCTGGGGTTTCTGTTAGAAAATGGACAGACCTCAGATCTTACAATCAGCACCTCCACAAGAATTTCTGGAATTTGAAGGGAACCAAAGTTTATACATATTTCCACCAAAACAATAAAACTAAATGCATCACTCCATAGTGAAGTATTCCATACACACTCAATTCTTCCTTCCCTTCCCCCCCAAGAAGTGCCATTACTTGAGAACCAAATCAAGATCCTTTGCTTTCACTAAGAGAGCCCCAGGCCGGTAGTCTTCAGGTTTTGTAGCTTTCCCCACTGGCAATCAGGGTCTCTTTGATGATGTGTGGCCTTCCACAAAGAGATCAATGCTTCTGCCTTGTGGCAGAAAGGAATTCCATGTGGAAGAAGTTCAGATCAAGAACCCAGCTTAAATGACCAGGCAGAACAAATGCCAAAGGTCAATTCCCAAGAGCATCCTATGGAAACACAGGTCTCAAATGCTAACAAGTAACCAGGTGTTCCCTCCAAGGAGCCAAAACAACCTAGCCAAAAGATGCTTTGTGGTCTTTATTTGATCTTTTAAAAACTCTTTACAATTTACTTATAAACAGCAGAAAGAAACTTGTGAGCACCAGCCTACAGACAAACTTGCCAGTACTGTGGGCCACAGCCTCAGGCAACTAATGAAAGGACAAGATTTCCAGAGCAGGACAGTCACCAGATGCAGGAATTACAAAGAGAAAACAAGAAGGAGGATCTTAATAGCCTGCCTGCTCACAACGGGCCAGGAGAGTGAGCTTCACTCAGTATGACCAGGCTGCTTAGGGCCAGTTTCTGGATAAAAATCTTTGATTATCAAAGTGGCTACAAATGAAAAAAATGCCACGAGAGTCACTACTATTCTCAAGGCTTTGAACCAGTTAGGATAATGGGGCAGGAGGAAGACTTCATTGTGTAATGCCACCCCAAAGCCCATGATCACCAGGACGATGGCTTCAGTGAGTCCCTCAGAAATAAGGAAGGCATACCAGGAAAACACCAGTGGGGCCCCACTGCAGACTAAATTCCTGATATCCGGCTTGGCTGGACTGTCCTCTGGCAGAGTGAACCCCCACCTGACCCCTCCCAGGAAAGACAGGAAGCTGGCTCCATAAGCCATCTGAGTAAATGCCAGTACTGGTATATAGGTCTTGGTCATCATCATGATCAGGGGTGGGGCCACAAAGGGGACCAATCCAGTCAAAGCAACATAGAGGGCTGGCTTTGGGGTGTCAGGCAGGTAGGTCAGAGTGGGTGGTAGCCTTGTGGAGACCACTGGGACCTTCTTCTTGAAGCAGCAGGAAGACGTGTGATATTCTTTACCCCCATCCTCAGACCCTGGCCTGGACGGGAGGAGCCAAGGTTTCAGAGAAAAAGGGGGGACATTCTGCCTCCTAGAAACCCGTACCACAGATGGAGAAGTCTTCAGGATCTGCAAGAGAATTAAGGAAGATTAACCAAACAAAATACTTAGCCTACCAGCCCCTTCTTCAGATCTCCACGAGTGCAAGCAGGAGGCCTAGGTGACGACTCTCGAGGGGATCAGCCCTGACATTAAGCAGCCTGCCCACAAGGAGGCAATTACTTCTGCCACAGGTACCCGAGACCCCGCAGCTCCTTACCAGGCTCAGGGCCCTGGGCCTGGAGTTAGGAAGACCTGAGTTCAAATCCTGTCTTAGACACTTCCTAGCTGTATGACCGTGGGCAGGTCACTTAATAGGTTTGCCTCAACTTCTTTATCTGTAAAATGGGCACAATAACAGCGCCTATCTGCTAGAGTTGTTCTATCTGTACAGGGCTTAGCAAACCTTAAGGCGTATGTAAATGCTATTACTAAGGAGGAGGGGTGCCCCCCTCCCCCGTCCCGGCGGCTGGTGACCAGCGTAGTTCGCACCCGGGGCTGACCCTCGGAGGGAGAGGCCGCGGGGCCGGCCTTTCTTTCCCTCCGCCAGCTCCGTAACCTGGAATTTTTGAGCAGTTCAGCCCAACCGGCGGGACCTGGCCTCGTATGCATGATTCCGCACCCAGGGTCCCCCATCTAGGCATGGGAAGGAGGCTTTTCCCCAAGTCCCCAGGGCCAGACTCGGTCCTCCCCCGGCGGGGGTCACTGCAGGAACCAGCGAGGCATGGGTGGGCAGGGGACCAGAGCGACACGGGCGCTTACCTGGGAAGGCGCCCGACAGCAGGCACGGAGAAGGCGGAGCATGGTGGCGGTGGCCGCCAGCAAGCGGGGCGAGCCGCTTCCGGTTCCGGCGCTCAGGAGAAAGCAGCGCGGGTGGGAACACGGCCCGTGCCTCGTGGTTCCCGGGGTCGCTTCCGGGAACGTTTTGGGCTCCAGGGTTCTTCTGGTTGCTGTTCCCGAGGGCGGAACTTGAATGAGGGGCGGAGTCAGGGCAATCCGGAAAAGATTCAGTGGGCTTGTGACCCGGCTCAGCACCCAGGATTCAGGATCACAACTCTGCCTTCAAGGAGCTTACATTCTAACAGTCTGGGAGAAATGGAACCACCCCAATCCTCAGACCAGTGTGAACGAAGCACCTTCCCCATTTTCCGACTAGTCTATGCGCATGCGCGACTCCGAACCACAAGTCCCGAAAGGCAGCGCGGCGCGCTCAGCGGGGCAGCGTTTAGAGAACGCCGCGGAAGCAGGCACTGGAGGCGGAAGACAGTATGCGGAGAGCGCATGTGCAGTGGTGCAAACGCATGCGCAGAGTTGGCGCCGATAGGCTTTCTCGTTCTGTCTGCTCCTCCCCCAGCCCTCACCCCGCGCACAAACGCGCGAGCCCCGGCCCTCACGCAGCGCGAGGAGGCGGTGGTGGCGGCTGCAGGGGGCGGAGTCATCCGGAGCGAGGCGGGCGCAGGAAGAGCTGCCGCGGCGTTCTCTGTCCCTGCGCGGACACGGACACAGATACGGACACGGACTCGGAGCCTGGCCCGGAGGAACAGAGAGGACTCAGGACGCTCCAGCCGTCGCGCGCCGCCAGGTGGGGCTCGGAGCGTGGGGGCCTGAGGCGGAACCAACGGGCGGCGGGGGGAGGGGCGGGAAGAGACGTTGGGCCGAGCGCGGCAGTTGGGGGAGGAGCCTCCTAGTCCCGCCCCCGGAGCGCGCCCCCGCCGCGGGCCCGCGCGCTTCGGCCGCCATTTTGGGCAGAGCTTTGTTGTGGTTGTGAGGCGGCCGGCAGCGGGGGCGACGCGAGGCCCGGTGAGTCGGAGAGGGGGCGGGGTGGGACCCCAGGGATCGAGGAGGCGCCGCCTGCGGGCCAGAGATGGGCGGGGGCGACCCCCCGTGACCCGAGCCCCGAGGCGGCCGGCGGAAGGGGGGCGCGTGTGGGAGCTTCCCCTCCCTCCTCGGACCCGAGCCGGGGGGGGGGGGTGCAGCCGGCGGCGACCTTGGCAAGGTCCCGAGGCTGGGGGGCAAAGTCCAGCGGGAGGCTGGGCCGGGCGGCAGGGGCTGGGGCGGGGTCCCCCGGCCGGCGCAGTGGAGGGGAAACCCCGAGGCGAGGGGGCCTGGCCAGGGGGCGGCTCCACTGTCATCCAGCTCCTCTTTCGCGTCTGGGGCCCAGGCCACCTGTCAGCCGGCACGCATTAAGTGCCTACTGTGTGCTGGGCTGAGGACACAGGCAGCCAAGCCGACCTGTGAGCCACGCATTCCTTTGCGGGGGGGGGGTGCGGGGCGCGGGGGTCGGAGTTCAGGGCTCGGGGCCCGGGGACGCGAGACATCATGGGCAGGGCTGGCGGGATGTGTGCCCGACCTCGGCTCCGCTGGCAACACGGAACTCCCAGCTCGGTCCGGGAGCGGTGGGGAGGGGGCCGCGGAGCTTGGGCGGCAGAGCTTGCTTTAGGGGCCGGGGCCGGAGTTTGCCTGCAGAGAGACCGATTAGGACGCTATTGCAGGACTCCGGTACCTGTGGGACTAGGGTGCTTATGGTAGGGGGAGACCTCCAGGAGGTAGAATTGACCAGCCTTGACCACCCATTGGATAGAGAGGTGGGGTGGGGGATCAGAAGACAGTGAACCGGTAGGGGTGACACCTAGCATGCGAAAGAAAGGTGGTGCTCTTGACAGAAATGAGTAAGTTAGTTGTAGGGTTTTTATGTAAAAATTGTAGGTGTGTATGTATTATTCAAGGATAACCTGAAGATGAGGCAAATTTTAAGCAATTGGAAAACGAATTTGACATCATTACAATCCTGGCAAAGTTGACTGAATATGGTGACATATTCGATTTTCAGATTATCCTTAAGTTACGAAATTGAGATGGCGTGTTTTTATCTTAGTTACAGAAATCTGAATTTTCTCAGCCTATTAATCTCTAGTAATTTTTTCCTTAAAAAATTTTTTTGCACTTCTTTTTATGTTCTTATACTAAAATACCAAATATGCCAGAGTGTCTGTTATAATCTAAGGCTGTGGACAGGTGCTTTTGCCATAAAGAGTCAAAATCTTCAAGAAAATGGAAGTGAAAATGAACGTACAGTAGAAAAGTCTATCGGACTTTCATTTAGTAGCTTCTGCTTAGCACAATCCCTGGCATATAGTGGGTGCTTAATAAATGTTTATTGACCGACTCACTGAAAACGATTATTTCAAAACCTCTAATGTTGCTTCATGGGGGAAAGAAGGGGAAGGAGAGCAGATAGTAGTAAATCTGCTCCTTGTTTGTACTTGTTGGCCTTCAGGGTCAGTAGGCTAAAAATAGTTGAGAAGACTACTTACCTTTACTAAATGCTTTTCTTATTTTAAGGGCTGGGTTTGCCCTTCCTTTGTGGAACGAGAGCTGTAAAACCATCATTTGTTATTTAATTCCCTGTTAACTGTCTGTGGTTTTGAAACACTTAAAAGTAAAATCCATGTAGAATCTATATCCACATACAGTGAGTGTTCTTTCCATAATTGTCAAATAGTAATATCTGCCTTTATACAGATCTTTATACACATTGTAATTTGAACTCTGCAGCTCTGGAAAGGAGTTGGCTCTAGGTATTATTCCCGTAGTGCAGATGAAGAAACTGAGGCTCACCTAGGTTAAGTGATTTCTCCAGGGTCAAACAGCTGGTAAGTGTCAGAGGTAGTACTTTATCCCTGTTCTGAGTCCATTGTAAGTTCTGAGCTTCCCTTTTCTCATGAAAATGAGGCTTGTTTGGAAAAAGCTCTTTCTGCTCGTGATCTCTGTACAGGAGTGATTTTTTATAATTGGAATATAGCTGTTGCTTAGGAAATGTATGCAAACTCACATTAAAGTGTAAGTCTTTCCTCACACCCTAATGAATTGTAGGTAGTCAAAGAAGTCTTGTTATCCCATTTGACATAGGAGGATACTGGGGTCCAGAAAGATTTAAGTGACTAGTGCCTGTGAGTTCTGGAGAAGCCTGGCATGATGTTTGTCAGATGAGGTAAATATTTTGGGAAGAAGAATCAGTGAACTTTACAAGAGCAAGAGTCTTGTCAAAAGGCCTGGGTTGGAACTTCTGTCCTAGATAGGTCATAGGATTTAGAGCTAAGAAGGGATCTTGACATCTTTGTTTTATTGATCTATTTTTGAAAGTGTCCCGTTTCCCCCCCCCCCCAAGCAAATATTTACAACAGAGGGAAAAATCCCTCATTTTATAGGTGGGAAAATTAAGGCAGGGTGGAGTCACAGGGGTAAATACATGATAGTGCCAGGGTCCTGGAACCCAAGCTTAGTGCTCTTAACTCCTTCTCCTGGCCAGTTAAAATGGGAGTGGTCATACTCTGGATATCCTGAGAATCTTAGAATTGGAGTGGACCCCAGAGTCATCTTAGTCCTACCTTGACCAAAACAGAGTTGATTAACCTTTAGAGATAGATAATGCACCAGTTTCTGAGGAAGTTGGTCCATTGCATGTGTGGATTGCTCTAATTGTTAGTGAACTTTTCTTTAGATCTTGCTTATATATAACCCAGCTCTTCTGGGACTTTGGGGCAAGTCACTTCACGACTTGGACCCCCAGTTTCATCAGCTGTAAAATGAGGTTAGACTAGAAAAATGAAGAATCATGGAATTTCACATTTGGAAGGGAGCAGGCTTTATTCAGGGCAGAGTGCAAAAGGATTATTGCCTCCCTAGTCCTCAATACTGTCTCAGATCACATTAGATTTTCTTTTAAAACTGCTATTTCACAGTGTTGACTTATGTGGAACTGACAGTTCACTGAGATCCTTAGATCTTTTTCAGACAAACTACTATCTGTCTACTCTTCTCCTCCCCATAATTGTGAAGGTGATTTTTTTGGACCTGTGTAAGTTTGATTCTTCTCAGTTACATCTTACTAAGTTTAGCCTCGGGTTCTAGCCAACTAGGTAGTACAGTGGATAGAGCACTGGTCCTAGAACCAGGAAGGCCTGAGTTCAGATTTGGCCTCAGATACTTACTTGCTAGCTGTAAGACCTTGGGCAAGTCACTTAACCCTGTTTGCCTTAGTTTCCTCATCTGCAGAATGAGCTCGAGAAGGAAATTGCAAACCACTCCAGTATCTTTGTCAAGAAAATCCCAAATGGGGTCGCAAAGAGTTGGACAAGGCTAAAATGACTGAACAACAATAATTAGCCTGGTGATCTTTTTTTAGGTCCTGATTTTGTCATCCCACAGGTTAGCTATACCACCTAGGCCTTTGTCCAGATATTAATAAAAGATGTTTAGAAGCTTGGGTCCCAGCACAGATCCCTAGGATATAGTACTACTAATACTACTTTTATATTTATATAGCACTTTAAAGTTTGCAAAATGATTTACAAATATTCACTTATTTTATCCTCACAACTACCCAGGTGGGGTTGGTGCACTTATCATCTATCATCTTCATTTTCCCTATATAGATGAGGATACTGAGTCAGACACGGTTGAAGTGACTTTGCCTAGGGTCACCCAGCTAATAAGTGTCTTAGGTGGGATTTGAATTCAGGTCTTCCTGAAGTCAGTTACTCTGTCCACTGTACCACCTAGTTGCCTCAGAGACCTCCTTTTATTTGACAATTTATATATGATATGCTATATTTATGCACAGATTATATATATTTTTAATTTAACATTAAACAAAATTAGTTTCTCCATACATAGTAGAGCAGATTATTGTATGTTATTTTCATTTTAAGTACATAATAAATTTAACATGTTACTTTCAAAGCTATTCTGCTCATTTCCTTCTAAACTTCCTTTTATTCTATGCATTTAAAAAAAAATTCTTCAGTGACTCTTTTTAAGAATAATACCTACCCCACCCACCTCCCA